ACATGGCTAGACCGACTTTCCTGGTGATACTGATCAAGAATATATATACTTTATAGGGTCGGAAATGTCTCCTTTACTGCGTTGCAAACTTTTGACCGAAATTATAATACTTTCTGCAAGGGTATAAACAGAGAATTTATATCCCTAATTTCGGTGCTGCCCTCGGTAAAAGATTAACGAACTTATTGGATGAATTTAATTTCGCTCAATTTTACACCTTTCAAAGTTTTAATTATTAAAATAATTATCCAATAATGTCTTTAGGAATACGACTCCATTCTGCTTCAACACTCTCGCAAAGGTTGCCCATGTTTTGTGGAGCTGCTTCGTACATCCCGTGCCGTCTTTTCACGATTGTTCAACGATTTTCAATCGCATTGAGATCGAGACTTTGTGCTGGCCACTCCATCAATTTAAAATGTTGCTTTCCAATTCATTCCTTAACAATTTTCGGTATGCTTCGGATCCCCATCTTGTAGAAAAACAATTTCTGTTTCGGGATAAGCACATTTTTCAATAAAATTGTGAAGATTTGTTTGAAAAATTTGGACATTTCACATATTTCACATTCTATTAAGTGCAGAGGGCCAACATGCCACCATGTGAATCATCCCTGAACCATAATATTTCCACAACCATGTTTTAGAGTTTGTTTTACATGGAGTCTCTGGATTCGTTATCCGGTTCTACGCCAGCAGTATTACTTTCCGTCAGACTGAAATCGGTTAAATTTTGACTCGTCAGACCAGTCGTCTTCAACGGTCCAATTTTTTTATCGGATAATGCAGGTTAGTTTTTTTAAACTTGAAATATATCCAATGTCCCGCAGCGGTCTTCTAGCAGTCAATTGCTAACATTATTGTTAATGGCCAAAGAAGCACCCTTTGGTGTTAGAAGCTTGCTCCTTTTCATCTCAGACATGATTAGTTGAGCATCTAACTCCTTCAATAAATTTTTACGACCCGCGACTAGCAATTTGGGAGTCACATTCCTTCTCTTTTCAACTGCAATTACCGCCGATTGGCTTCTACCAAGCCCTTTGCAAATTGTACGTGAAGTACAACCATTCTCGGTCAGGCTTACAACATTATTTTCAATTGCTTCAGATAGTTTTCTCTTTTTTTTGGTTCGCAAATTTATAACAAATTATTTACAATTACAAGATTATTTAGAAACACTTTGCTTAACCCGAAACACGTTTTAGTCTGCGCTACAGCATCAAAAATAATACAAATACAAACAAACATACAAACGGTTAATCTTGCCGATTTATGCTGCTAAGAGGAGTGAAAAAGCAAAAATAGGCGAGAAAGTGCCAACGTCCAAAATTGAGTTTATGCGGTTATCTTTCGTTTTTTACTTTAAGTCTCTTCGAATTCATCTTCATCATTGTTTTTGCTTAGAATTTATTAAGAATTAAATAATAAAAATAAAACAAAAATTATGATAATTATGATTATGATTATGCATTCAATTTTGCTCGCCATTGTATGTATGCATATGTAAAGTTTGCATTATAAACGGTTTATGTATTTGAAAAGTACGATGAGATATTAAATAAATGAGATAGTAAGAAATGAAATAGTAAACTTTTTATGCCACCGCTTCAGACGACTTTCGTTTGAGAATATATCTGTCTTAATTTTTTTTGTAGATTTCTGGTTCAGCTTTTGCCACCCACAAGGAGAGAAATATGTATACTCCCTACCTGGATCTGCCTTAACCCTCGGCCTCCTGTTCATCTTTATCTGACCCAGATGAAACAAATTCATCTTCGTTATCGCAGCTGGTGTTTGTGGAATTGGATTCATCTATTCGAGCTGCTTTCCGGACGTTGTACGGCCCTTTTCGCTTAACTCGGACGACTTTGTATGGCCCTAGATATGGACTTGCTAGCTTCCTTCCTGCAACGAATTGAGTCCTTCTGATTGCGACGAGATAACCCAACCTTTGATGTGAGTTCGCTTGCGCGGCCTGTCGTAATTCCGCTTTTATACTTGCTGAGCGGCTTTAATTTTCTTTTTCGCTTCTTTCGTCAATAGATATTGATCAACTATACCGATTTAAATTTTGTCTCTACCATGTCTCTACTGAATTTGGTGTTTTGTGGGCGTTTCAGTTGGCGTGGCAAACTTTTGAAATAAAAGAGCGCAGCGGAAGTATAACTTTAATGAACATGTTCAAATCTCTAGATCTAATAGTTCATACGGACGAACAGTCAGACGACTGACATTGTCCTGACTGACATTTATCCTAAACAAAAATATATAAACATAATACGGCTATTATTAACATTATTCTTTAATAGAAGTTGATATTCGAGCAACCTGACAAATTAACCTTGATCATAACACACACAGCTCTATATGACTATTACACATTTGTTTCTAGGATATCTTTACAAGGCAGTTGTGTAAGCTGACAATTATTAGTGTTGGTTCTTACCGAGATACTTGTTTTGTACAAGTGGTATTGATTTTTAGGAAATATATATCAACGTGTGGTGCAATAATGATCTCTGTGGGCCACTATTTCTAGTGCTAGACCGCCTGCAGGTTTAATACCACAGCGAAACAGGCACTATTGCATTTTCTGGTAATGACAGCGTTGTTGTATATACCCATAAATATCAGCCCTCTTTAAATGATTAAAAAATAAAAAAAATTGAATTACAACATTTTTGTACCTTTTACCTTACTTAGATTCTCTATTGCGCAGCGATCGTATTGTATATTTGACATTTAAGAATTTGGTTATAATTTTATATTGATCGGAGTGAAATTTTCGAAGTTCAACTGCCCATTTGAACGCGGGTAAGTTTAATATTCGACTTTAAAACGCTCTCCTGCAAAATCTACTGGACGAATCGTTTTGAAATTTTGCACAGTACTTCTTTACTAAATTCCTCAGGTAACGCTGTTTCTTTGTTTTTGGGAAAATTTGTTATTTTTACAACGATAAAGCTATGATTTTTGGGCAAAAATCGAGGTTCTTGACTTTTTAGTGACTTTAAAAACCGAAAAAAATGTTTAAGAACAGCAGAAATGCGCCGAAACGTTTGATACCTTTTATTAATGTCGTTTCTCATTTTTTAATTACTTTGAAAATCAATATTATAAAAGAAAAAAAATAGGGTTTTGTGTAATAATTAAATTAAAAACAAGACTTCTCGTAAAAGCTGCAGAGCAGCGCCCGACACGCACAATATCCAGCTCCCTGACCTTATTTATTCCAACAACATTATTACATATTGAAATCCCTGATCTCAGATTTTCAATGGCAAAATGATACAAATTAAGCAACATACACTCACTATCATATCTCTGCGTACACACCAAAAAAATTTCAAAATCTAACTTTAAACCCCAGCTGTTCGGCCATTTATGCATATATTCAACCCATTCTTTTTTTAAACATAATTATAATTTATTGTCTTCATTGACGTATTTTTTTAAAATTATTCAACAGTGTCTTATATTTTATTTTTAATTTTAAACTCAACACTACCAAAAAATGTACCCGCAAAAGTCTGCGTACACCTATTTAAAACACAAATAATATTATTTTTAGTAACTGGTAGGGTATCCTTTTCTCTGCAAAACTTCCGTAAGGCGTCTCGGCATGGAATCCACTTTTTTTTGTCTCATCTGCAGTAATTTTCCCCTACTCCTCGAGAATCACATTCTTGAGCATTTTTCTAGATGTTATCGTGTGTCTTCGGATTTTCCTCGCAAGAAAATCCCACAAATGCTCAATTGGGTTTAGATCAGGACTCTGGGGAGGTGTTCGCAGCTGATTTTTGACGTTATACAGCAGCCAAAGCTTGGTATTCTGTGCCGTGTGCTTCGGGTCGTTGTCTTGTTGGAACCAATATTCACTTTTGAGCCCTAATTTTTCAGCACTTTCTTTTAAATTGCTGTTTAATATGTCAATATAGATTTTTTGATCCATTATTGACTCGATAAATATCCATTTTCCAACGCCACTTGGTGCCATACACCCCCACACCATTATTCCGCTTCCTCCTTGCTTTACTGTGCCTACCAAATTTTCTTTATTAAAGGCTTGGCTTCTCCGCTTTTCCTACATACCAAAACCTTTCCCTCGATTCCAAATATGCAGAATTTACTTTCGTCGGAAAATATAACCTTATTCCAGAAGTCTTGGTGTTTGGAAATATACTCATTAGTAAAGGTTAGGCGCTTTTGTCTATTGACTTGCGATATGAGAGGTTTTTTGCGGGCGACTCTGCTATGGTAGTCGGCCTTTTTTATGGTCCGGCGTACAGTATCCTCGGAAACTGTTTTGGAAAATATATCATCGACCTTCAGCTTTGCCTGATGAGCTGTCGTCCTTGGGTTGAGCTGAATAGATTTGATAATATTCCTCTGCTCGCGGTTTATAAGCAAAGGCGGACGGCCAGAACGAGCCTTTGGCAAGATACTTCCAGCCGAGTTGTAGTTATTTATTACTCTTTGGATGGATGAGTGGGTTCTACCAACTAAAGCACCAATTTCTCTATAAGATTTTATAAGAAAATACATACATAAATGGCCGAACAATTAATGTTCAAAGTTTGATTTTGACATTTTTTGGAGGTGTACGCAGAGATATGCAAGTGAGTGTACTTATGTAGATAAAATGTAATTTTATTTTTAAGGTAACTAGGAATTTCCTCATAAGAGTGTCTGCGGCCCAAAACATTCCATACATATAGCTGACGAACATAAATTAAGATTAAACGATCACCTGTTACTTAGCTGAGATAAAATCCATGTGGATACTTATTTTACAATATAATTCAGTTCTTGATAAAAGTTTTTTATTAATTTAAGATTTCCCAATGTTATCATTATCTTCAAAAATGTATAAACTTTTTGGTTTCTTTACGTAATATGAATGAATGAAACGTATGTATATGTTTAAATAATTATTTACATATATATATACATGTATATTCACACATGTGTAAGCACTTTGTATCTAGAATGCATACATACATTTAAATCAATAGGCATATAAACATTTATATGCGCGGACCTAATATGTTTCAGAATGATAGTTATGCACTTGAATATGATTTAACGCGGATTTAAACCACTTTATTATAAGATTAACATAGACAAACGGCTAAAAACAATTAAAATTCCTAAATAATTTTTTCCAGAACATATTAAAGTATTAACATAAATGTATCGATATTTTTATGGTATTTTTTTACGCCTTACAGCCCGGTTATAAGCCAGGCACACTATAGCCTAGTTACACATACGCTAGATTCCTATCGCTATCGGAGTTAACCCAATCACGCAGAACGGCCGTCGATATTTAGTCAACTCGATTGTTAATTTGATTTCCAAATAAAAAAGATCAATATCTGGTTAAACAACAGTAAAACTATGCAATGGGTACTCAAAAAGGCTGCCTTAAGAGTTGTTAAATTAATGATTTCATCCATAAACAGATTTTAGTTGCCAATAACAAAATAACAATCCATATTCTCCTAAATAATATTAGTAATATTAAAAAATACACCACCAAAAATTTAAGGATGGATAAAGCAGACATTGAACGGTTTGAATTTTAACTTCGTATAAACGTTTATGATTCCGGCGTTGCGGCGGAACCAAAAACAACAGCACTCTAAACCAGAGACCAAAACAAAAGATTATTTTATTTTAATAAAATAATTTTTTAAATAAAAAAAATAGGTCAGATAGTGTACTTTTCCTGTATCAATATAAAAAATTAACTTTATGGTCTCTCCTGGAACAGAAGACGTGGTTCATTTATACACATTTAACCAATTTTGATGAAAATTAGATTCGAACGAAGATCTGGAGAGTCCAAAGACTTAGGTATGCTCCAGAATGGGAATTTATTGTCATTCCATAGATATTATTCCCTTTCAAAAATAGTAAATAGAACTGATTTGTGGAGTGGTTTGAATCTATTATTGCCTGATTCTACGCACGGCACCTCAAACTTACCAGCTCTTTCTCGCCCTAGACCTGTCAGGTCGCAGTTTAAAAGCCTCAGCCTTGTCGACTTGCAGCGTAAAATCTTTTGCAATGAGTGTTGGATCTCCTATTACAGCCCCTGGTAGTCCCGTAATTAGTTCCTTTCTCACACGTAATATGATCCAAATGTCCTCCTTTTACGCTATAAGTCTTGTCAGTACCGCCTGTGGTGGCTGCTGAACAACCTGAATTGAACGACTTTATGCCAGGACTTCTGGTGTTCCGATTTTACCGATTTCATGAAGAGAAGTTGGTTTGACGTCCGAGACTTTGTAACTTGGCACTTTGATCTCCTCTAGCTTTTGTCAAGTCTCAGAGTTTAAGAATTAACTCGATGAGTTTAAGTCTCGGGATCTTTATTTTGCGATCTTGATCTTTCCGGTTAAATCTCCTTGACTTTGATTTAATTCTGGAACTTTTGTTGCTAACATGATCAGGGTTCTCGCGTCTTTTAAAGCCCTTGGTTGGCCCGCCTCTCCTTTCTGCTTTTATTAAGTCACAGACCTTCTCTTTGTTTAACTTAATTGTTGTGACCTTGCCATGTAAGTGTAAAAAGTCCACTGCAGTACTGTTAGTTACCGGTATCTTTGCTTAGCGTTAATCTGGATTCCGACTTTGGTTCCCTGGAATCCCGACCGCAACGACCGCCAAATATGCTTAAATATAGTAGCCGTACACATATTTTGAGTAACCTAGCATAAAGAAGCCATTAAAAAAGTAGGGCATTAGAATTTCAGTCAAAAGATTGCAACGCAGTGAAGAAGACAAACAAGGTACATATGTATGTACATATGTATATTCATGATCGGCATTCGGCCATGTCTGCACGGCCAGGACTGTCCGTTTCTACACAACCTAGGCTCTAAGTTTTTAAGTCTAGCTACTAATCCGTAAATCTACTTTCTATTGCAAGTAGTATATAAGTCGAAACGGGTACGATTGGCCGAATATTTCATATATGTAGCTACCATTAACCAATCGATGAAAAAGGAAACAAAAACATTTACACATGTAGTCCAAGAAGAAGAACATTTTGTATAATTTAAGAAAATTATTTTTTACTTTTTTAAAAATCAGGGGATTGTATAACATTTTTGTCATACGAAAGATCCAAAACTGAAATTATTAGTAAAATTAATTTAGCTTCACCACACATTTGAAATTAAAAAAATTTTAATTTCGTAACTAACTAAGGACTATATAGTAAGACTGCCATAGATAAAATATTTATTAAAAAATCGACATAACTTCATTGTTGTGAAAAAAAGAAGCATACAAATTAATCTGCCTTTAAAGTTGCTTAACAATGTTATGCAAAGTAACATTAATAATAACAATAACCAGCACTATGTGCTCGTTTAAAACGGTGACTTAGACCCTAACAAGTACAAAAAACAGCAACCATAACTGCAGTAACTCGGTGGCCGGTATCGCCAGTTCTTACTGGAATCGAACGCTAATGAAGTTCACCCAATATAAGCTTCAATATACATATACTGCACCAAAGAATTACCGAAGTGGATAAGTCCAATAAACAAAATTACCGACCACGACGCCGAGAGTTTCTTTTACTCAAGCATTAAGTTACAACAAAGGGTCTTAGGCCTAGTAATCAGATCGACGAAAACTGTACGCCAGTCATGAGAGAGAGCGAGAGGCAACGTCATGCTTTTTTTCCACCTCGGTACTCAGATCGACGAAAAATACCAGAAAATTGCATAGCGTTGCCAGTCTGCGGAAATGAACTTTGGGTGAACCCTAGCGAAAAGATTAAAAAATGTTAAGCGCACGCCAGCGCTTCTCACTGAACATTTTAAATAATGGAGGAAAAAAATTTTAAAAAACCTGCAAAAGTCGATTGCATGTTACATGATTACATGTGTCGACAAAATAACATTAATACTAATTGGGGTGCCGCTTGTCAGAGCAAAATGTTTTTTATGCCCTCTTCCCATAGAGTCCATACGTCTGAAACGATTGGGATTTTTGACAAATGTCCGATTCCCACAGAGCACATCCACCATCCGATAGCAGCTGATCTGAACAGCTGTGGCTCATCATTTTAGCACAACATTTAAAATGAGCACAACAGCGTTATAACAGACTGCAAGTGATCTACGCAAACAACCAATTCGAACTAATATGTGTACAGAGTTTTGACAGCCTCCAGCAAAAATATGAACTTCTTTTGCCCAATATTGTCTAAATGGTAACAAATAAAGTTTATTATATATAAATGTTTGTTTTTGTTTTAATTTAATTTCATATGTTATTTTATTTTTAATGTTAAGGATGTCAGACAGCCGAGCCCAATTCAATGACATGATCTCGGTCTGCGCTCGCTGCTCCTCCAGCCTTCCTCCATCGTTATTTCCACTAGCTCGGCCTTGTGGTCCACCTTTTCAAGCTTTGCGGGGGCCGCAGAGCTGCCTGAGCGTTGTCTTCCGATGCAGAGGCTTCCATGTCATTGGGGTCCACATCTAAGAACTTCAAAAAGAATTCCCTAGTACCTGCAATAAATATATTTTATTAGAAATTGTAAACCACAAATATAAGTCTGGGAACATACTCTAGTTCTCCAAGGCATTCTGCACCATGTTGTGAGTACGGAAGGAATGAGTAGGAAAGAGTGGAGCAACTGTTAATGCTGCCACACGGGTGGAGCAGTAATTAATTAATTGTTACAAGTATAAACAACATTTTTAGATTTGGCGCCTTCCTTTTTAGAAAGTTACCCGCCATTATTTTTTAAATTTTCGCAGTTATTGTTCCAGTTTCCACTGTCAAGAAGAAGAACTCAGAGTTGCACCAAAAAAACATCGCCTAACTATCGCATAAAAAGTCGGACAAATTCGGATGGGGAACTAACTGGGAATTTTCGGAACGGCAAAACCTTATGGACCATCCGTTCAACGGATGGTGGATGGATCTCAGTGGGAAGACTGCATTAGGTAAAAAATGTACGAAGAAACACAATAAAACTTTAGCTATAAACTTTAAATTAACAAATAATTATCAGTAAATTAAAAAAAACAACTGTTAAAATTGTATTGTTTTTTAATTTCTTTGTACAGCTACATACTTGTCTTGCCAAGGTAGTTGATAATATCTTTTAAAGGCTCTTTCACGCAAATACGATATTTGAATTTTAACTGCTTTTCAACAAACCCAGCTGATTGACGGTAGCACGCTTTATTCTGATGAACTCTCGAAATTTTGGTCACACTGGAAGGATTAAAGTTTTTACGCTAGTGTACTCGTTTGTCAATCTGAAACTAGCTATACTTAAAAAATCCGCGTGTTAGATATCTATTGGGCTGTTTACAGGTCATTACATTGGCTACGAGATTTCAGCTGTATTATTTTGGTACAAGTTAACTAAGTTAACCGGGCGACGGCAATGACCGATCGTCCGAAGGCTCGCTCCGGCCAAATTGCTGACACAGCGTCTGGCCGGAAGCTCGTGCATAGCCGGCAAAGACTACCCATTGGAGTGGCCGCTATGAGTCTCTTTTTTGTTAGCTTTAAGTTTCAGTTTAGATTTGACTTTATATGAATAAAGAGCTGTCGCTCATACAATTTATACTCCGACTACCGTCGTTAAATTCTTATTATTGAAAAACTGTCTGAGTCCCTAGGCCAGCAGGTAAAGAAGGGCAGTCACCCTTCCAACATAATCTTCGTAATTCATCTTGGAGAATTCTACGGCCAGCCGGCCAACCACCACAGCGACGAACCTTGCCACCCGCACCCCCTGGATAAGCTGCAACTGCGAGGGACGACCCGTGGGATAAATAATTAATTAATTGGCGCTCAACGCAAAAGTACCCACAGCGGTATAATAGGGATCATGTAAGTGAGCACCTCAGTCCTTATACTTCCCGGCATCTGCATTTGTGTGTAACTTATAATAAATAAAATAAATAAATCGCGGCCAGAATATTCTTCTGCAGCTCGAATAAATAAAACAAGTAAATCACTGCCAGAATACTTTCTGCAGCTCCGCTTCCATAATTTGTTTGGTGTTAATTTAAAAAAATAAATACAATATTAATTAACATACTCATTATTTGATGACATTGTGGAATTTTAAATTGTGAAATTATATGCGTTATTATTATATTTGCTTCTGTGTGTTGTTTGCATTTTTAATTGATAAAAAAATATAAATATATCAGACACATAAAATATAAATATAGTATTAAATATCTCAG